TGTAAGTGTACTTAACTGTGTGCTGCTGTTCTTTAAACCTTCCTGGTGCTTTTTGTCGAGATGTGAACCTTGGTTTTTGTCGCCTCTTGCTTAAAAAAATCTGTTTGTTGTGTATTTCATTTAGTTGCACTTCCACCCTTTGTTCTGTTTCTCACCTATTTTGTGCCACACGTGTCCTCTTGAGTATAAATGCCTCCAGCCTTGCTATCCCCACTGCCACCTTGTCTTTGTTCAACTCTGATGTAAAGTTTCATAAACTTGTCTTTTCCTCTTGTTTCCTGTTTTATTCTGTTGTATTAATGTTGGATTTTCTTGTGTATTGACTTGTTTTACCTTTTACCTGCCCTCGCCTATGCTGTTTACCTTTCCTACACTGATTAAAGGTAGAGCTCTTCCTCCATGACAAAAACATTTTTAGTCCTGAACCGATTTCCTTCGTCTTGCGCCGCTGAAAATGTTTTCTTTTACCTGGTTAAATAACGATTACATAAACTCTGTGTATGACCTTGTGGTAGAAAGCAGTATTACATGAAAACACAGCCACTGCCTTTATTTCAAATTTATTTGATATCTCTTCAGCACAATACAAAGATGTATATACATAGCAGCTGTTCCCTCACGATCTATTGATACTGTTGATTTTGGAGGACTTTAGATGATCTCTAACAACAGGAATTTAAAGAAGTACTGTGCATTAAAAAATTATGGCATTAGTTACCATTAGGTTGTGACTTATGGGATAAAAATTCAGAGATATTTTTATAGTTTCCTTCATGTTCTTCAAAACAGAAAAAAATAAAACTCTATGTTGTACATGAAGTGCCTGCAGCCACAATTGCATAACATGTTGAACGGTAGCCATTAGATAACAAACATGAAAAATACAACAGTGAACCACCACAAGCTGCGAGCATGTCGGGGTGTGCAGAGACCTCAGTGTGCTCAGCTGCTGAAGAGACTTGGCTTATATTCAGACACCCTGACTCGTTCCTACAGTTTGATTCTGCCTTTCTTATTCCATCGTACAGTGACCTGAGGACACCTTCAACAGAGAAGCTGTTTAATCTGAGTTAATGATCCGGAGAGCTGCTGCAGTGAGTAACAGTCGTTCAGGCGTCAGACAGTCTGCTGTCTAAGCCGCTGTGGTTAAAACCTTCATGTAGAGGTGACAGGAAAGCTGCTATTGGCTAACTTGTGTGTTAAACAAAGCACAGAATGACCTCAAAAGGAAGGAGAAAGAAAAAGATCAACAGATTTTTTCACCTGAACTGATGCGGATGAGTTCAACTGGGAAGCGTTCAGTCCATCCTTGGATAAAACACGCATAAAAACATAAAGTTTGGGCCTTGTGAGTCTCTGTACGGTTGTATAGTTGTGTTTTTCTTATTCAAACTGACAAACTGACTTTAAATGGTTACACAAAAATGACTTATTTTTAGCACAAACTCTACATTTTTAATTATTTGCATTGTACAACAAGCAAAAAAGTGGAATTGGACAACAAGTAGTATTTACTGTTTTGGGTTTTCTCTGTACTCTAGCTCTGTCCTCTCTCAAATGCACCAAATAAGAAAAAAAAAA